TTTATTATAAGGTAAAAAGTATTAATATTACGAACCATTTTTTTGTTTCATTCAAAAATTGAACGGTCCAGAGCAACAAGATGGTATACCCAACTTTTCATTAAAAAATTATTATTATATTAAAGCATTTCAGAAAATCTATTTTTTTTAGTTTAATATAAAAATTTTTTTAATTATATAATTTTTTTGTTAAGTTATTTACGATGATATTTAATTAAGAAAAACATTTTTATAATTGCTGTTAATGGAAAATATTTCAATAAATTTCTACTTCTTTATGATTTCTAAATGTAGACACATAAGGTTATTGTTCTGGACCTTTGAATTATAATATAAAAAATATTGCAAGTATTTTGAATGTTGTGTATATTAATTGTGTCGTCATTTGTCTGATTTTATATCTAATAATTAAGTACTCTTGATGCCAGAAATGGTGTCTTTGCCCCTTATAATGGGAACTATTAATTTTGTTGGGGTAAATGAAATTATTTTAGCGCTTGATAGATTTACATTTGAACAATTGAGTGGTTTTATTCCATTTAAACAGTTGAAGCTGATAGCAACTCTCAATAGTTTATATTATTATTTGTTTTTATACAAACAATTGAGTTAAGGTTTCTCATTAGTCTTTTCATTTCAAATTAATATTGTAATAATATTTTTTATAAAAAATAGGCATTGATAATATTATTATAATAGTGTATAGTATATTATAATCAACAGTTTTGTTATGATGTTTCATCAATTATAGAAGTCGTTGTTAACTTTTGACCTAAAATTTTTGGTCATATTTTCTCTCTGCTTTATCTTAGCAATTTATGCTTAAAATAGATCTGCACAAATCAACTTCACTCTATAGTTTAAACCACGTGAGTTGCCTCAAATCATCTTGAATATTATTCCTATACAAGCAAAGAAAGTAATTAAATACCTAGAAATTACGTTTAATCACTGACTGACACAAGTCCACACTAAAAAGAAAAAAAAGTCTAAATTATCGACTACACCTTCTACGCTTTCTCTTTAACTCAAAACTTCAACTTGAAACAATATCATTATACCCAAAATTTGATCTCAGGTACCCAAATCTGGGGTCTGGCCAAATCATCTAACATTAGGCCAATACAAGCGTTCCAGTCAATTGCACTTAGACTAATCACTAAATCTCCATGGTATATCACGAACATAAAATTGCATAAATTCCTATAAATATAAACGTACAAGAACTTGTAACAATATACTACAAATGATATTAATAAATCTCAACAATACACAAAAGCTTACTAATTTATAATATGTCAACAAATAACCTACCCTCAACCTACTTCATAGACTACAACGACAATGGAATAGATATCTTCTAAATAACTAAAACTACCTTAGTTTTAAAAACTAACTAACTTAAGTAACTAACAAGATTTTTTAGTATCCTTTAATTTAATTTAATTAAATAAACACACTAGAGATTTTATTAATAGGCCATCTCTTCTTCATTTAAATTTATGTTGAAAATTCAATTATATAATAAAAGTTGTAAATATTCTAAATAAAAAAAAATAACTTTAATCTGCTTTAGTTTAACTATGTTTGTAATTTCAAATATTTTTATAGTATAACTAATGAAAATTTGAAAATGAAAAATTAACTATTAATAACTAATAAAATAATTTTTTAAATTATGCAACTATACAATAATTTGTAACAATATTGAATATTGTTAGCACTTATTTACATTTATGAAAACGTTAAGTTGTTAATACACGCATATGTTGATAATAATAAAATACACTTAAATTAATTTTGTCATATTATCATTATTTTGACTGAATCTTTAGTTTAAGTCATTTATAAAAATTTCTCAGGGAGCTAGGTATATTATTATTGCTAGTATTAAATGTGAATGGAATGTTCTTGCTTTAACTCCATTCAGGGTTAAGATTTGATAGAATAATCTTATCAAATCTAAGATTACTTTGATTTATTCATCTTCATCTTATATTAGCATCTATACTCTATTAATTTCAAATGTCATTTGTTTACCTTGGTAAAAATAACGCTAAAATATTTAGTCTCTTTGTTCATCCATTTTACATAGAATGTTCCAATCAACATAGTAACATGTTTACTGAAAGTTGTTTACAATAGTTAAAGACGGAAAACGTAGCCCTGAAATTCACATGTGAATTACAAAATCGCTAGTCGTTGTCACACTAAAATTCATTCAAAATGTATTCGGACCATGTGGACTTTACTTTTTCACTAGTCGATTTCCACTCAAAAACATATTGCTGCTGGGTATTTTCCCTATGGGTGTCTACTGAATTATTTATAAGTATCTACATTGCCTTGAGGACGGATATGTGCACAAACTATATGACATTGTATACAATACAATTCTTGTTTACTCGCATCTATTGCTGTGGGTAGTAAAAGTTCAGAGAGACTATAAAGTGTGTTTTTGACATTGGTTTACATAAAAACAGATGGTTGTGATTTCTTAACGATTTAAGACATTTTTTTTTTTTAATCTTTTAGATATTGTACTATACTTTTAGGTATGTCTCACTTATAAAACATTAAACATTTTCTTTAATTTTCAAATCGCATTAATTAATTAAAGCTATCAATTATACTATTAAGATTATTAATAGATATGCTATCTTTTAGTATCATATTTTTTTATTATTTTAACGAACATAAGTTGTAATTTTTAATTTTCACACAACCACAATAAATCCAATCTGAGGGAAGATTATTAAGAGCCATTACTACTACAGTAATCTACCATTTCAAGGATTTAAAAAAAAGTAAAAATATAAAAGCTCATAAGTATTTATCATTGTGAAATTTTTAAAATTAAACTTCTCTTCTTTGTAAAACTTAGTTTGTTACTACTGTTCTATCTCGTTTTAAATTGTCAACCAGGTATAAAAAAATTAAGATGAAAAATGTCTATAATATTTACAGTAAAACAAAAAATTGAGTTTCGTTTGAAGAAAAATGAAGACGTATTGTAAAATAAAACCGTATTTTTTTAAATTAACTTTGTTCATCAAACTTTGTGGTTGGGATTTATTATTAGTTCATTTTTGTTTGTTGAGATGATAGAGTAAAGCAAAATAAAAAAGAAGGTAGAACTTGACGTTTTTTAAAGGTAGTCAAATAATCAACGTAATTTTATTTTATTATCATCTGACTTGTTAAGTACTTTTATTTAATCAAAGTGGAATTTTCACAAGTTTGAATAATGTTATTTTTATCTGGCTTAGTCTCATGAGTAAATTATATTTACATATCCATGTACAATTTCATATTGCATTCGAAAGAGTTGTGTGTTTTGCAGATTATTTAAATTCAAGTTGCAGCGAATCTTTGTAATGTTTATTTGGTGGTGTAAAACTACAAAAAAATTTTTAAATGTTACATTGTTTATAAAACATCCGAATTTATGGCGACTATTTGAAAATATTACTTATGTAGATAAATGTAGTAGCTAGTAAGTTGAACAAGTCGTTTACCCTGAAACGGCATAGATGATAGAGTGGTGTACTGTAACCCTAGACAAAGTAATACTGAAAGTACACAAATGTTGCTTATGTATACATTTGGCGAATATGTTTATAGGCGTCAGGCGGTTTTAAGTTGTTTTGTGCGTAAAAGCGCGAAAAAGGACGGAAGTCGAGCCATTATTGTGTTGGGTAATTCTGCACGTGACCGGAGTGTCCATTACTCAAACGGTACGGACAAGCTTGTTAGGTTTTGTCTGTGTGACGAACAAATTTTTATTACTAATTACACATGTAACATTATTATATGTTAAACTGTAACAACCAAGTCAAGAAAACACAACTAGTTGTTTTAGTGTGAATAATAAATGGCGTGTCTTTAATCCGTTACCAGAGGGACCAAGAATTAAACGTCGATATTAGACTTCGGAAGGTTTATTAACTTTCTTTAACCGCTGCTAGTTTTAAACTGTCGGGAAAAACTAAATGACTGCACCAGTATGTTTCTACTCTCTTATATTTAAACAATCGTTTGTAGAGCAAAAATTAATGTTTTTTCGTTCTATTTTGTACGTTATCGTCTCCCTGGGCTTATCTTCTGCTAGCGTTATCTAAAAACTTTTGCAAGACGTTTTCTATTACAAGTAAATCGATCGGTCTTAGCATCACCGGTCGTGACGTTAAGAGCGCCAAAGTTTATTCTATTAAAATTAATTCGACTCGACGGCGTTCTAAAGGATTGGAAAAAATACCATTACGGGAAAACTTCTAAAAACTTACTTTGGCTCGCTACCACTTATTCGTATGAATTGTTGGTTAAAAGTTATTACAGAATAGGTAGACCTTGTTCGAAAAATACTTACTGTCAGACGTTTTCAATACTACACGTGAGGCTCTTGTGTCACGTAGTAATTCTTACCACCTCAACTACTAAACCAGTCAGTCTAGTATTGAAATAATTTTACAGAATCGTATTTTTTTATTCTATTCCTTATTTTTATAATTAAAGAACTCAAACAAAATTTTCGGAAATGTTATTGAAACTTTACGTTTAATAAAAGAATAAAACAAATGAGTTTTGATATGGGTCCGGAATCATTGTTATGTAGTCTTTATTTTCATTTTAAAAATACTTTAATTGTTCATCTCGTGGACTATGCAAAAATCATTTGCGCCAAATGTTTTCCATCCCAATAGACTGGTCGTGACAGCCTAGTCGTCTGTATGTCTAGTAACGGCATTCCCTTAACAAACGAAAATCCGGTGTGTATTTATGGTGGCAGCTGTGACTGCTATCGCAGTACTCAGACCGTGTAGTTTTTAGCAAAGGTTTTTTATTTAATGTACATTCTTTTTGAATACTGTCAAATTTAATTTTAATTAAATCGGTTGGAATCTGTATGAAAATACTTAGAGACAAAAATAACTTCCTCTTGTTGCAATTATTTTTATTTTATTTTTCAAATAATTTTTTCGTTAAAAATAAATCACAATCCTATTTTGTTTACATATACATATAAATATTGTATTTATAATTTAATAAAATAAAACTTATTTACAAATATATAACTTGATATTTTACACATATATAGTACTCTTTATTTTTATTTATGACACAAATAATACGTGATACAACACGTTTAACAAAAACAAAATAAACAAAAAGGATGGTAGTAAAATAAACATCACAATAATAAATTATGTATTAATTTAATGGCGGTAGATGACACGCTACGGTATATAATAATTCATTAATTAATAAAGGCCATAGCGTGCGATAGCCTTCAAGGATATTTCGACTGTATCCGCGCTCTTCGAGAAAGTTAAAAAAAACATGGATAATAAAGGTGTAAACAATATAAAAAAATAAACAAATTTGGATCTCTAGTTCGATCATCAGTCAACGGACTCGGTCCGCTTAAAACAAAAATTTATAACTAATAAAACTTAACAGCTAACACGTCTTTATCTTAATAAATGAAATTGAAAGTTGTGACTAACGACGTAAAAAGTCTCATTACAGTTAGACTCTATATTTGGTAAGAAAGTTTGATGGTGGCGAAGTAGGAAGCTCGCAGTAGATATGCGCATCGGGCAAGTTGTCAGTTACGCAATCTGTGCGTTGCAACTCTTCGTACAGATCGGCTGGGTCCATGTAATCATCTCCAACCGTCGGCGGCGGTTGCTGTGGCCGATCTTTGTAGTTAATAGATGTCATTTTTGGTGGCCACAGTTTTTCCAATGAAGGTGCTCCCGTGCCTACAGATTTTGTATTTAGACCACCGCCGTAATTGTCACCATCACCGACCACTATTGCTTTGGTTGTAGTTGTGGAAGTCATATCATCTAATCCACCATACCAGTCGATTCCGCCGCTGTTACTATTTCCACAGCACGTTTCCTCCACCCGTATCAGGTCATATAGGTGTTCGATCATATCTCGAGCCTCGGCATAGTCTTCTGGATCATCCAGCTTGTCTCTCAGAGTCTGAAGCATCTCTTGCGTTAACTCTTCCGGCACTGTCTGCGTTCCTCTATCTTGATAAACTACCACACGAACAGCTGGCGGCGCAGTCACGTAAAAGTCATTTCCGATTCTATTTCGCTGTAATTCGGCATACTCGTGTACAGAGATAGGTGATAGGGAATGCGCCGAGGTAGTCCTGTCTAAACTCCCCACTCCCCTACCTCCTCCGGTCCCATTTGACGTTAGTAAAGATCTGAGTTTAATGAAGAAACCACGAGCATTTAACCAAGTTATTGCACTGACCGCACAAACTGTCCCAAATCCGCACAATATTAAAAGTACCAAGGTGGTAATAACACCTCGTTCAGCTTTGGGACCCAAAATTGTACCAAACACACGAAAACTAACACCGTCTGGATGTTCCGTAACCGATGATAGTGCTTCAGTCTCACGGACGCATCTTTCATAAGCCACTGCCAAATCCGTACCACATCCAGCAGCGTCTCGAAATTCTGCGGCATAAGCATAATCCGCAATATTTGAAGTCAAATTTTGAGAACAAGCATAGACTGTGGCGTCCACCAAACAATAATTGTTTTCGGCGAACTCTCGTTCTTCACTTATTACAGAACTGCTTCCGTCTACCATCACAAACATATATCGTTGTGAGCAATCGCATTTGGACGTCAATCGATTAGACGTCACTCGTATAGTGTTGGCGGCTGTCCTAAGTCGAATGGCTGGTGTCCACGGAACACTTTCGCTTGACAATGGATGCAAAATATTATTAGAAAAATAAAGATTTCGAACAATCGTCGCCGAGGAAGCTGATCCCGACGATGTACTGTATTCGCAAAACGCGTTACGCTCTAAAATTTTAAAGATATTTGATTCTATTCGGATTCCGTGCCAGTTTGACAGATTAAATCCGTTTGTTTTTACATGCTGAAAGGTGTTGCTATCTAACGTCAAGTTGATGGCCACCGTAACAGCGCCCGATTCAATTGTGCCAAACCTAAAACAAACCAAAAAATAGGAAAGTCAATATATTTATCAATAGTATTTGAATTAAAAAATAATTGTTTACATATGCTGATCAATAAATTGTATAGTTTTATTGAATCAGAACGATGGAAAAGTAATGACAGAATAAAATGTACACATTTCTCTATTTGGTGATATTCTAGCGTAGAAGAGAAGTTTAATGATATTTATTAATTTTTATACGAATATTTTACTAATACTTTACTTTTGGCAATACAATTTATCCTTTACTTGAAATCGTCAGGTACTTTTTTAAAACTTTACATTTACATAAAAAAAAAGTCGTCATAAAACAATACAAAATAACTTGGTTGTACAGATATTTTTTCCTTAAAGATGTTGTCAATTAATTAAAAATTAATTAAACTTCACAAATTTTTCTTGTTTACGTTTTTGGAGCATGAAAATTTGTTTTTCTATTATGTTACGGGCAGAATAAAATATTGGCAATGCGCAATAACATGAACATCGTAGTAATATCAATAAGTGTGACAAAATATGCATTGTTAAAAATTAAAGATATACCACATTGTCATTTTTTCATTCATATATTTCCTTGACATAATTTTTTTTATTTTCCAACAATATAAGTTGATAAAAAAATATACGAATTTATCATTAAATAACAAATGTGACATTTTTTATTGGTTTAACACTATTATCGAACACCTATGTATTCTGGTTAATTTTCAATGTTTTGTTTTTAGGTGATAAAACAATCACTAATTTCATCATTCAAAAAATTAATAAATAAACTTAGAATCTTTTAGATACTTAAATTAGTTTCATAATTATTTAATACACATACTTTTTATACACATAATTCTGCGATTCAAATAAAAAACACCCTTTTTTTTTGCAATTTAATATGAAACACTCAATTGAAAATGTATTGTATCTGGAGATTAATAAACAATTTTTAACCATAAAATTTATACCCTATTAGTAAATTAGAGATAGGTATTAAGTTTTTATTATTATTTTATAAGAATGGCCCTTTTTCTTACATAAATTGCAAAATATCCTGTTACAGATTAAGATTGTAATTATAATTAAATATCAAACACGCCCACGCGATATTACTTAAATACAAACTTTAATTAAATCATTTAAACTTCATAATCAAGCTTAGAGAAAATGCAAATGTTGTCAACTTAGTATATGAAATCTAAATATCATTTAGCTTTCAGAATTTCTTGTAAGTTATTCGAATAAGTAATATATTAGAGCCATAATTTTACACTATACATTACTGCTCATGGACGAGTGCTTTTAAAACAAAGAATAATCATTTTAGTTGATATCTATTTTAAAATGGTCTAACAAATGTGGAATTCACACTTGTGTTTAAATAAATTATGTACAACTTAGATACGGTAGTGAATTCAATTTGGTCAAAAGTAATGCATTTCGGAATTTACTATGAAATGACTAATGATAATAGGGATTCGTATTAGACAGAAAAATTAATAGAAACACAGACATTCGGGCAGGTATACAGAAAGAAAAAATAATTAACTTTCTTCTATATTCGAAAGAAAAAATGTTTAAGTTCATTGAAAAACATAATATTATTGGATAAGAAATATATTGTGAATTATAATTTGTGATAAAATAAAGATAGTAAAATATAAATTAAAAATCACTTTGTTTAGTTAGTAAAAGTTTTGATATCCTAATTTAAAAAGGTTTTACGCTATTAATTTTTACGTTAAACTGAATAGTAGGTATATTTTAGTTTAAGATTAAGTTTTCTTTTGATTTATCTGTGAAAAGAAAGGAGGATTTTATACAAAGTTTTCTGTAAATAAAACTGCTGATAAACACTTTTGAGAAGAATAAAAGTTTGAAAAACAAAAGCTTAGAATATGTTCCAGTGTCTAGAGGAAAATAAGAAGTATATTATAATTTTAATGATGTTTTTTTGTTTTTTTTAAAACAAACAATGTTTTTATTCAAAAACAATTAAGGCTATCATGAAATATTTAATTAAAAAATTTGCAAGTTAATGCTGTTTAAATTTTTGGCTTACCCAGAAAAATCAATTTTTAATGAAATTTACACAATTACTTTTAATTTGTTTTTACATTAAAAGGATTCCTTTGATTGTAAAAAAATAATTTAATTACAAAATTCAAAAAAGATTGAAATTTGATATTTTGTTTTTAAAATTTTAATTTTAGTAAACTGATCTATAATCTTTAGAATATTGCAAATAATTATATTTAACGATGTTTTATATATATATATATATTTTTTTCATAATTTTATTTATACTACATCATTCTTCAGTTTATTGTTTTATAAAAACCTGCTTAGGGCTCTACAAGTATTTCATTTTTAAATTTCACATACATGTGTAAAAAAAAATTCAGCTACATTGTTACGGACAGATTATTACAGCACAATCCAATGTTTTAATGAATCATACACACACTCAATGGTACATACATACTTCTATACATGTTTTGAGTGTTGAATACACAAATTACTTTTTTGAAACATGTCACTTTCCATTAGAATACTCACTCTTTTTAATTCTACCCTTTCCTCATAACACACTTTTTTGTTCACCACTCATATACTGTCAAGTAAGAATTATAATGAAATAAAACTTTGCAATAGTCGAGTGTATTTGTGTAGGAATTCACTCACAGAGAAGCTAATTAGTGCGGTGACACGGAAGTGATGTATGTACTAAACTTAGTACAATATATTATCGCTGATTATTTTGCACGGAGCAAATTTCCTATATTGCCATGAACTTGATAAATGGTCAGATGGATTCGAGGGGAAGATAATGTGTTCTTCAAAGATTCTTTTCTGTTTTAAAATCTCAATAATAAAAATACTATATTTATTATTAATACCTTAACCATTTATTAATGAAATATTAACAGTGTTAATATATTTTATTAACGGAGCATACACGATTAAAACATTTTATATTATCAATGCGCATTTAAATGTTTCTATCTTACATCACTACATAATGATAAGATCTTCTCAGCTTCGCATCGAAGCATTGAATGGCTAGCGTAAAAAGAATCGCCTTGTAGTGGTATTATACATATACATAAAAAGTTATTTTTTTATTTATTAATTATGTAGAGTTTTCTAAGACCTTTCCTATTTTTATAAAGTGGCATGTACAGTAATCTTATATTGAACATGAAAGTTGTATATTTTCATAAAAAAGTAGTGCAATAACCTTTTTCCCTATAAAAGTCACAGCATTTTTCTAATTATGATAAATTTAAATAATACTTTGCCCATAAATTATACTACAGTAATAATTTTTCATTTAAATAACCTCCATAAACCCTTTTCATCAAATGTAAATTTAAAATTATTGTATATTCAATTATACTGGGCTTAAAAATTAGTACCAAATAAATTATATCATTAAAAAAAAAGTATATACCTACTAAATTTGTACCCAATACAAAGGGTGAATCTCTCTCTTCTGTAGTTATATAGCTATTTATGGTTAAATATGATAAAAATTTAAAATGTACTCACTCTGATTGTTCGAAAAATATATCAGTCACTGCAGCCATGATTGCTCCTTTTTCCAAATTTTGTACTCTACATCTAGTCATCCGTAAGTTATCCATTATAGCAGATTCCCTAAAAGCGTGACTTTCTATTCTTCCTATTGTTGTATGAACTAAAGTGATATTAGTGAACATAGTCTTGGGAAAGGCTTCTCGGCTTATTAATCCAATTGAACAATTACGAATTAACATTGAACTAATCGATGTAACAAACGCTGATGATGGAATAACATCCAAAAAAACATTTTCGATAATTATCTAGAAATAAAAAAAGTATAACTCATTTTTATTATGTAATAATTATAATGTGTAAATTTATCAATAATTGATAAATTACGATATAATAACAACAAATAACTATAATTAATATAGATTTTGTTATAATATAAATAATTGCATCAACCTAAAAAAAAATGTATAAAATAATTTTTGTTTTTTTTTAAATATAAAAAACATTAGCACTGAAGCCGAGCCCTTTAAATTATTATCATCATTACACCTATAGGGCTCATAAAAAATGATTTTTAGAGTGAAACATAATTTTTAAACTTTTAAGACGCCCTAAAACTATAAATATCTTGAAATTTATGGTTCGTGTAATTAATTTTAAAGTTTTTATACTTCCAAATATACTAGTCTCAAGTAATTTCGCCTTTATATTATCGATTTTAATAACACCACTTTTACACCATGCGTGCACTTAACGGCAACATTTTACGATGATTTCTTGTGAATCATATTTGTCTTTAAACTAACTAGGAATAACTTTGTAAGCACAAAACATTAATTTAAGAGGGTAATTTTCTCTTTCGTTGTTTATGAACTTAAGATTAAAAAAAAAGATAAACGACTTACCTGCTCTATAACACCGATAGCAGCTTCCACAAATGTTTTTTCGGATAATTCCAAGCTTTCTATTCTTCTAAATGTAAACATTCTTAACTTAGATACTATTTGTTGGCTCAGTCGTACTGTATCACAGTCTTCGATGAGAATATCAACCACACCAGTTTGAGGTTGAATTGACCCTGAATCTAAGTATACTCTTTGAGCTTTTTTTATAACTAACCATATTACCGATTCGGGTAAACCTTTGTTTTTGATCTGTAACCCTTCTTTCTTAATACTAACTTCTCCAAATCCCGTTATGGTAAGTGAAACGAGATTGGCTGCTTGAGAAAACGTTTTTCCGGTAATAATAATTGATGTGTCTCCTTCCCCTGATAAGGATACCATTGACAATGATTTAGTCAAGTTTTTGTTGCTGATATCATGTTCCCAAACGACATTCTAAAAATTAAATATTAAATAATAAGTTCTCTAAGTTTTAAATATTTGTAGCTTAATTTTTTTTTCTTTTTCAATCCGAAGATTGGTTTTTAACAAATGTTTTACAATAAATGGCTTCTCCATTTTTCTCTATCACAATAATGCTTAATTTACAAAACCTTTATAAAGTTAGCATTTTTAATCATTTTTTTTAAGTAATAATTAAGTAATATCAAGTATAATTTATTGTAGTTCATTCGAATTTAAAAATGAGGTAGACGTAAATGTTACTTTATTGTATTGTGAAAGTTCATTGACATTAAATGTACATCAAATTATAGATTACAAACTTACTACTAGTTGGTTATTAATTTCGTATGACTGTTTATTGTTTTAACGTAATATGAATTGTTATAAACATATAAAATGGTCTTATACGCTCGTATGTCTTGAACTCTCCAAGCTTAGGAGGATAACATTAAGCTAAAGCAATCAATAAAACGTAAATTACTAAGGACATAATTGATTGCGGAGACCCAAATTACGATTCAATTTAACCGGTGAGACGCGTTTACACAAACTAGAATAACGATACTATCAATTATAGTTCAATTTAGATGGTTCTCAAACGTATTCAACATGTATTTAATATACTATGCTCAATTATAGTTTTTAAATTCAAAATTTACTGTCCTGTGCGTTTTATTATATTTGTATTTAAAAATGTTCATATTGTTATATTTTAAATAAACATGTATGTATATATTAATAATAGAACGTAAATAGATATATACTGTACTCAATATTTAAGGAAAATATTCGAGAACTTTATTGAAAAAACATAACGATTCTATAAAATCATAAATAAAATTAACATATAATATAAACTGCAACTTATTTGAAAATACTGAAATCAGTTGCGTAGGCGTTATTACATTATCATAGCCTTCTTAGTGAACTGTCTATAGCGATTTGATAAACTATATAATTTATCAAATTGTTATGCTACTGAAAAATCAATTAAATTAGTTTAAAAAATATAAACATTTTTTCAAACTTTTGAACCATGTCAGAGTTTTATTAGCCGATTGGTCTATCACCGTTCACTAAAATGGCTTGTAACTTTGTAAGACTTGTGACTGTTTTTGTACAAAAAAAATTACTACCGTCAAAAGCAAGACTCATATAAATCCGGTTTAATTGTACATCGGTTGACTGAGTGCGATAAAGTAAAGGAACAGAGGAAATCGTAATAGTTCAAAGAGGCCCAACGGAATTGAAAGAAACGATGTGCTTTTTCTTTTTTACAGACAGGAAGAAGTATTTTATTTTATATACATATATATTTAGACAATTTTCTTCGAATACGTGATTCGAATATAATTTTCACTGTCCAACCTATAGAATATATATGTAATTTTTTTCCGATCTTTCTTAGAAATTTACGTGCAATATGAAGGGATAATCACAATTTCTTTAGATTAGATAGACTTTTATGTCGATAAAAATCTCGTATTAATGGAAAAAAGCAGAAAGCTTAGCTAACAAACCCTAAGTTTATCGAATGCTATTTTTTCTAGGTTTTTGCATCGAATTGAAATTATTTCATGGTAGCATAAATTTCTAACGTCCATTTACGCCCACTTCATCCACAAACATTTCCTTACACGCTTTTGGATAAAAACACCTTATAAAATAAAACAGTATAAAAAAACCGATGTCCATTTCACTGAAAAACTGGGGTCATTTGGCAAATAAGGTTATTTCACGGGCCATAGAGCATAATGACTCATCGGGCAAATGGATACACAAAAACAAAAAGTTTAGATAAGTTGTGCAGTATTAAAGAATCTTTTCGCCCATGACCGTCGTTATTTTGATTAACTCTACTAAATTTAGTTGTTTTAAAATCCATTATAAATTATCATACCAGCAGTACTAAAAATATAATAATTGATTATAGTAAAAATTGGTAGTATAAAAATGCATTTCATTTCAATTAATTTTTGTACAAATTTTAGTTATTTAAAATTTTATCAGTTAACAACTGAAGAATTTCTTAATGGTAATTTAAAATTAAAAATTAAGTTACAGAAACTAATAAAAAACTGTGAAAACATTTAACATTTTTTTTCTTTTATTGTCTATTATGTAATAATTGTAATTTTTAACAGTATTTTAATAATTTACATATTTTAAAAATCAATTTTAACCACCTATGTTGTAAAAATGAACTCTCAATTATCTTAACATTTAGTATTCAATACCATCAAAATGTTACCAATAAACTTCACGTTTCCTATGATTATGCGACATGAGTATATTAAATTATAGTTAAACAATATATTTTTAATTTTATATAGCTTTTTATTTAATATTTTATTAAATTATGTGACTGTTATATACAGGGTGTTTAGTAAATAAGGAAACAGGTCAGTTGTTACAAACATTGAGAACAATAGAAATTCGTTTCCTTACTTACTGAACATTCTATAGAAGTATATCAAGTCAGTATAATATATAATTTATTTATTTTTAGTTTTTTTTTATAAATATTAGCTCAAAAATGTAATATCCTAACTAAACCATACTAATTTAATGTGTTCCATTGATTGCATTGGGGAGTTAATCTGATATCAGTTCATTTAAATCGGGTCAGCGATTAATATTCACCGACGGAAGGTACCGGAAGTAGAAAATAAATAACAGCGTTGTGTCAGTACATTTTATGATGGCGGAAATGAATGGCTAAGGGACACCAACAATAAACCTAGAAATGAATGGAAGGGACTCTAAGAAATATAGCTGATTTGAGTATTATATGAATGAAGAGGGTATGGGGTTTGACGCAAGTGTATGTGTGTATGTTATAATTATGTGTGAACCAAAACACTTTAATGTGAGGACGATCATTAATTTAATCCGAGGAAACGACCCAGGTCCAGTAATTTATATAAAATGCTCGGTCGCAAAGGAATCATTCGTGCGTTTATCAAAATTAACATTAACTACTGAAACTAGTTTGAATTTGTGTCTTTTATGTGATTTCTCTGAAACCTTTCACGTATACATTAATGAAAGCTGGAGCTAGAGAAACAGTATGTATAATTTAATAAATGGTTTGGAAACACAACGGACTGCGGCCGTCAAATGTACGTTTTCGTCTCTTTTTGTCTCCCGACCGCTTTTGGTTTTGGCAATAAGCCCGAGGTTAAAAAATATAATTAAAAAAGTAACGAGCAAACATTTGTTTGTTGCCAATTTGTATTTAAACGACAAATGTTTTCGGGTAGGAATAATCTATACACCTGACAACGGATGGTGGTTACATAGCTATAAATCAAATTTTTATTTTGTGTTGAGATTTAAAAAATTCCATTTAAAAATCTGTCCAGAAAATTTTGTTTAAAAAACTTTAATTTTTTTTTTAATTGTTTTTAACGCACGAACAAACACTTAATGTACGATAGTAAAGTACGTTTTATCTCAGTAATATATTGCCTAGTTATTTATTTATTATTATTAAGTTGTGTCTTAAATGGCCATTAATTTCGAGAGTACGCTAAAACAATGCTGCAGTATAGTGGTAGCAACTACCTCTATACTTTTCTCAGTCCGAAAGTTAGTTGCTAGTTTTTGGATCATCTATTATAAATTAACAAGATAATTATTAAGGTTTATCGGTGTTAAATTAGTTCAGTAATATTTTACGTTTTCTTTCACATGTGTTAATTATGATTAAAATTATAATAATCTTGTATTTATAAAAAATTAAAATTTGTACAAAAATAAATGAATAATTGCATATAATACTTTTATTGTACTCAATGATTAAATTAATTTCTGTTTTAAAATTTTTTTTACAGGTAAGATAATTTACTTTGAAAAAGGAAATATTGAAGTTTAATTATACTTGAGGATTATTGTAAGTAAATTAAGCAATATAAAATAACTTTCATCGGTGATATTATAAAATTGTAATATAATCTATAGTTAAATCGACATAATAGAGTTGATAGACTTGTCTAATTAGGTAATTTATATTTTATTTGAGGCACTGGATCGGTTATCATTTAGTTATAGTTTTAAAACCCCATTGTTATTTTCAGGGGGTTTTGTTGTATATTTTTTCTATTTGATAAGTCACAAATACATAAAATTGAGATAATTTTAGAATTGGAAGAAGAAAAGAATTGGAAATAGCCTATTAAAAAAGACTTTATTCGTTTATAGTATATAGAATGTACCACTTAAAATGCAAACACGTGATGCGTTTTCATTTTCTAAAAAGAATTTGAACATTTAATAACGGCGAGGAATCAACGCTATGTTTGAAGATTTTAATTATAGATAAGAAACGCATTTATGATGATGATATTATTTGGGAAAGCCAATGTTTATCGAAGGTGGAAGGTTTTTTATGCTCTTTGAGCATTGTGTCTATTGACGGTGTGAATTTGTGGTGAAGGGTGGTAGTTGTTTAAAAAAGAACTACGTTCCAGCTTAAACGATTTTCCATGTTTGTCACTTCTAAAAAAAAGAGATAAAGCTTACAATATTGGCTTGAAGATTTTCTTTTATACAAGTTATGAATAATACCATCAAACCATTTGCAAATATAGTTGGTATCTTTAATCAAGTCGTGTAAAAAAGTCATCCTGTCAAAAGTTTCCAGGGATTTTTAAATGCTAAATACTTTAATAATTTGAAAATAAAATAAATTCAATTGATCTTTTAAAAATATTGATCTTTTATATATTACAAAAAATTGATACAACACAAGCATTGTTTACTTTAATTAAGCATTAGCATTTTATAAAGTAAGCATTTTTATTTGAATTAAAAAAATAAATAAACTCTATTGGATAAATGAATTATCTAACAGGCATAACGAGGATTTAGATGGCATGAAAGCTAGATTTGTATAATACTGTTAATAATAATTTTATTACTAGTTATGTATATACACAATGATTATTTTATCATAATTCACTTTGTAATCAAAAAATAAAAATAAAATT